CTGTTTTCACTTTATTCCATGATGGCTAATTTCACCGTTCCAGTGGTGAAGTTAGCAAAACGTGAAGACATCCATTGCATTAAATTATTTTCGGACGCTCCACATTGCATAAATTTTGTTGTGGAATGTACTAAAATCTCCTGAGAACGATATTTGTGAATATTTTATTATTAGCTGCAGAGGTCAATATGATTAGCTTTAGACACTATTTGAAGTAGGGAGAATGGGATGACTTATTCTTAATAAAGGTCATTTAGTTCATAAGTATAGGAACCAAGGGCTCATAAGTTTTGACATGTCTTTTTTATCATAAAAGGTATTTTTTAGAGCTCACATGCTCCTCCGAAAGGATAAAACTATATGAGTACGTTCATCGCTCAAAACGAAAAATTCCTCGTGAGCCTACAAACCGCATCAATGAATTCCTTAAATGATTCATTGTGTTTCAATTGTTGCATATTAAAGTATTAACTATTTTGTCAAAAGAAAAACAGGTTTAATGAAATTCAAGAACTTTAATCCAAAGTGAAAAAAATCTATACGAGTAAAAGTTCAAACTTGGCTCACTAAAGGCACATTGTTGTATAGGTATTTAACGTTATCGAGCATTTGGATATTGGAACCTTAAGGGAAAACTCGATTTTCTTTCAATCTCTACTATCTCCTCGAGTCCACCACAAGGCTTAAAAGAGAGGGCTGACCTGAGCCCATGTGTGTGTTATCCAGATCGGATAAGTTGGAGCAAGCATGGACCTAAACTCCCGTTCAACTCAAATATACTCGATAAAATCTTGGGTGATCACTTGTAGGATACTTGCATGCGGTTAAAGAATAATATGCTTTAGATAATGCTTGGACTCCTATTAGAACAAAATAGAATGTTTAAAACAAATATGTTATCCATTGTGATTTTATTAATCAACATAACATTTTTTTTCTCTGAAAAAGATGGCTTGGCATAACAAGTTAAGCTTCATGTTGACATTTTATGAGTATATAAAATATTTAATGGTAAATATCTTATCCTATAAATTTTTTAACAAGAATAATCCTACAACATGACATATACAAAATAAAGAGGTAAAATTCCATGTTAAAATAATTTAAAATACTTATATCCACAGGTAAGAAATATAATAAATTTATAAATTTTTACACCTCATATCATAACATATATATATATATATATATATATATATATATATATAT